CATCATCGTCGTACAGCGAAATACAGGGAAGCAAACTTCACTAGTCGCTGCTAAACTCGCAATGCATATATGTATTGGAGTTTGATGGACGGGTAGTGCTTGTGTCTACCCAATAAGTAGGATAACGATAACCAAAACCTTTAATTCTGACAAGAACTTAGCTGCAACGCAGCGGGTGAGGGGAAGCGGAAGCATATTTATTTGGATCAATTACTCCTCCTCCACGTTTTACCGACTGAAGCGCAAATTCTTGTCGAACCTCCAACCTATAGTACAAGGAGAATGGACTTAGACCGAACTCTACAGATGGACCTTCGGCTTGATACAAGTCATCCTGTGTAGCTCGTTGGGTCAGAGAGGTGCACAAGCTATCACACCACGTCAAGGTGTAGTCTCTTTGTGACTAAAGGGCAATATTCATCGAATAGTTTGGCGTTCTTTTGAAGATATACATTTAAAATTCAGTAAATAATGGTTTAAAAGAGACCGTTTTGTGTGAAGGATATGTCACAGAATACCACAGATTTGGTTTTAAAATAACCATTTAAAGGTACGTCTGCCCTGAAATCAGTTTTTAGGAAACGATGGAGAAATGGTTGAATAATTCTTTTGAGCAGTGTCGGAATTTTCAGTATTTGTATTTAGCACCCTATCCAGCAAGCTCCCTTCAACGAGAAAGCGCTCCAGATAATAGCTCTCTGAAACTGGCAGCCCTACATTCCCCAACGTTTACTCTGTCCTCAAAAATCGGTCACATTCTCTGAATGGCTTTCGGAAGTTTCATTACTGTTTTCCTAACAGTTCTAGATCATCAAAGTACAGATAATTGCTTCAAGAACCCTACGGGATTGGCGTCCGGTGATAGAGTAATTCGCAGATACCGAACCCCGAATACGCGGCAAAACATAAGCATGGGAAATCTACGTGTACTGTTGCCTAATTAATCATGAAAAATGGAAATAAAACGGTGTACCTCAAATAAGGGGCAACTCTGTCTGGGCAAAGCAACCGTTTCCACACGATAAAGGTTAACGTGCCAGGAGGACACCCTCTTGGAAATCCGATGTGAATATAGCGACAGTGATATTTAAAGGGCGATGAGGGCTAATCACAGGGATAGTATAACGAAATGACAAGAAGGCGGGTGTGGGTTGACAGGTGGAAACCGTATTCATGATGTTAGTAAGAGAATAGACAACGCATTTGAGGAGGGAGTCTGGGGCGGTTAAGCACCCAAGGCGGGCAATAACGTGGGGGCGAAGAAATAACTGATTACAACACGAGAATGAACAGTAAACGGGTAACACCAATGAAAAGGGTAGGATAAGTAAAGCGGGTGGATGCTGAATAGGTGGCCACAAACAATACAGTTTCTATGCCGGGTCCAGATAATAGATAACGATAATGGGTTGATCGCAGAACGAGTGACGAGTACTACGATACACTTCCAAAAATGGGGTGGAGATAATAGATTACTATAATAGGTTGGACGAAAAACGGATCACGGCAATTAATACAAAGTTGCTATGTGAGGCAGTTAGGTAACCACAGGGGATTCGGTAAAGTGCAAACTATATAGCTGCAAGGGCGAACGTAACAAGTTCCGATCCGTCGAGTAAAGGTCATCAAACTGGGAGGAGGTTAAGAACGCACATGGAATGATGAGTTTTGAACAGACTACAAGAAGGTCCGGTGTACCTAATTTTAATCTTACAATAACCAATAAATATCTTTCAAATTGTTCTTTTTGCTATACATGGTGAGACATCAATTTTGGATGAGGGTAGGGATCATTTTTTGTGTTCAACCTTGATGTACAGTTGCTGATCGAAATCTTGTAACATCCCTCTCATTTTCAAAATACACTTAAGTTTCCAATATCCTACATGAATATCGATACCTATGGGTGAAATGTATTTATTCCTGAGATTATCTCCCATTTCCATTTTCTTTTTTATTCTTCGATCGCCGTTTGAAGTTGCGCAACCTTGAGTGTCGGAATAAACCTTGAAGAAGTTTGAAAGTTACGGCTCAGATTTGAAGAATATTTTATACAAATCATCATGGAAATTCATTCCTCCTAATAAATGATTGCTGTTTCATGAGAGGGTCTTTTAACTTGAAGACACATTTTCAGAATAGCTACTCTCATTTTTTTCAGTATATAGTGAATAGAGAAAAAAATTTGAAAATTTTCTTGCTGAAATATATCGGTAATGTATTTGAGTAAAAATACTCACATGTTAGTTAATAGTAAAAAAACTAAAAATGTATTCCAACGCACATACAAGTTGACCTTCAAAAGTTGATCTTGACGTGTGCGGCTCGTTACAAACAAGCGTTTTATTGTGTCACCATACCAAAACGCGCATCCGGTAGGTTTTTGCGTATAATTGAATCCAATAGGAAACTTAATCGAGAGGAGTATAAATCCCATTACTCACTTTTTGGCTTACGCAAACGCCTGAAAGTGAACATGACCCCAATTTGTTGCACAACAAGCAGCATTCCTTCTTCAAGATGTAAACCAAAACGTTAAAACCGATTATATCGAAGCAAGGCGGTGGTTGAATTTGATCGCAGCTGAGAAAAGTTGCACACAAGCCATATGGAAAATAATCCTGGTGAATTAGCCATTTTTTCATCACGTCTCTATTTGAAGAAATGAGAGCTGAATTTGAAGTACAGCGGAGGCCACCCAATATAAAGCCGTTTATGAACCGGCAAATGAGCAGAACACGTATTGATTTTCCCCAAAACAGTTTATCTCACTGCAGGCCAACCAGCAATTCAGGAGGCGAAGAAAGGTGAGCTACTGGCCTAGTTTTCCAATGAATGGTAACCTGTTTTACCTGTTGAAATAAGTTAGTATCTATCCCACTTAACGATTTGCTGCTCTCCCTCACCCTCCACTCTGGAAATCGCAAAATGCCTTTCACTGATAAGGTAGGTTTTTGATAACTGTCACTCTGAAAATGCCTTCACGGAAGTCATATGCTTCACAGATGAAGGTTTGTATATTTTCTCTTTTTAAACTGGCATTAGCAAACGGTTAGATCTCATTAAATATTATTTGTTTAAATTTATTCTCCTTCTGGATGGGTCTTGTCCAAAATCAAATTTAATCGAAAACTTTGCCCTGAATCAGAAAGAGGGATCAGTTAGTGGTAAGGGTGCGGGGTATGTTAGAGGAAACTGGCAAACTTTGTTGTATAGTCAACTTAGTGGAATCCACACAGAGGCGAGTGCCTCCAGTGTACATTATTGCAGAAGGCCAAGTAAAACGCGAACAAGATGAAAAAGCAATATCTATACCACTCATCTATGGGTCTTTTTGATAAACCAATTCCAGTGCTTTTTTGCTGTGACTTTGTTGTGTTACAACCGATGCACCAACACTCATCATTCAAATCGTGACATTCTGCATTTTATTGGTTTTCAACCAACAGAGGACATAAATGAATATGATTACGAATATGTTGCGTCTGATGTGGAACAATATCATATTCAAAACCCCGTGAATGAGGCTGAAAACTCTACGCGTTGAGAGGTAGAAATGTGATCAAATTCAGAGTGTTTTACTGAAGTTTGATCAATACCTGCAAAATGTTTTAATTGTGGAAGCAGGCAAACTTTTAATCGTTCAAAATATTTTGTGAAAGGGTTTAAAATCAAAGTTTGTATTGTATTCCGGTTGTTTAGGTTGATCACGTTACACCCAAGAATAAGGATTTCAATCTATATATCACATTTTCAGACAATCTATTGATTGCACCTAAATTCAACTTTATTCTAACAAAAACCTCTTGTTCCTTTATCACACCACTACACAGAGTACTCAGGAAGCCTAATGAAACTTTGGACTATTGCGTAACTTCCGATGCTGCTCAAACAGAAACGCTCATGTGCTTATAAGCACAATTATATAGCTTCCGACGTGGAGACTTGAGTTCCATTCTTTCAGACAGTTTCTGGGGTTCCGTGGATTTTAACGGAACTGTTTCAGTCATTTTCGGGATTCTATCAAAATTCGATATTGCACATATGTTTGTCTATTGCCTTATTGATCGCGAAACAGAAACTCGAAACATATTACAGACGGTGATCAATGAAAGTGTGAAGGCTCTTGCAGAATCCCAGAAAAAGTTCTTCATTAGGGACTGTATCAAGATTTTCCTCCAGCTTTTACTCTTGTCTAATATTTCATCTGAGACTTGTATACGTCATTTCTTATAGAGTAAATGTACAGAACCCAACCCCCCCCCGGGTAGGATTAATCGCCAGAGTAGTCTGTATTCCGGTAATGATTGATCCACAATAATGTCTCTCTGACTTACGTATTATTCATGAGCGTTGTACAGTTATAAAAACTTCAATATACTACTAAAGAAACCGACTAGGAATGGAATGCAATCTTTTTCATGCTTTGGGTGGAAATCTATTGAGTGTAGTCGTGCGTTTTCCCATCGGACGGGGCAATGCTAGTCAGTCTGCCGAATAACCCGTAAGATGGAGCAATAAAAGCTAAATGCTGAAGGATGGTAAACAAATAAGGATATTAAATAATACCTTTTCTCCTACTCGCGCTGTCCTAACCAAATGAGTTATTCTGTAGGAATTTTATTTTTTTTTTACTGCCACATTTGTGGCTTATTTACCTCTTTGCCGGCTATTTGGGGAGACAATTTCAGGTGTGATTCTGATTGACAAATTCTCATAATTGCAATTGTCTAAACAGTTCCACGGAGAACATTTCAACAAGAGAGGTAAACACCCTCATTTTCAATGAATTGCATTCGTGCGAATACATCATAATCGATATCAGTACTCAACTACAGAAAAAACAAATGTTTTTGGAATGAAAAAATCAAACTAATAGTTTCTTGGAGTGAATTTCGTCTTCGGACCGGATGTGGAATTTTCAATGTTCACATAATTTCATATGAGTAACGGAGGATTTGGTTCAATTTCAAAGGGGAAATTCGTCAAGCATATGCCAAATGGACAGTTGTATCAACCTAGTTGGGTCTCATCAGTGGTACGAATCCATCGACCCAACTGAGGATCGAACCCCGGAACTCATGGGCAGAACGCCTGCATGCAACCCACTCGGCCATCGGGCAGCTGCTCCATTTACAAGAATCAGCTACATAGTTATCGCGTTACTACGCCATGGCTCCCAAAGTTGTTTCAGGCAGAGCAACGAAAAAGGCCTCGAAGATCGAAGTACCGAACATCGGCAAGAAGAAGAAGCGCAGGAGGTAGGGGAGCTGCGCCATCGACATCTACAAGGTATTGCGTCAGGTGCATCCCGACATCGGTATCTCCTCGAAAACCATGTCTTTTATGAGCTCATTCGTCAATGACATCTTTGAACGTATTGCCTCCGAGTCAACTCGTCTTGTTCACCACAACAAGCGCTAAACTATCACGAGCAGGAAGATCCAAACTGCAGTTCGTCTTCTGGTACCTGGCGAGTTCGCCAAGCATGCCGTCTTCTTCGTACCAAGGCAATGACCAGGTACAACGGCTTGAAATAAATTCGGCGATGTTCGTTACTGGGTAAAGGACGCTTTCTCGACCCTTCTAAGGGCCACTTTCGTGGTGCATAAATAAAATGTCTGACTTGACTTGAACTCGGGATTTGGGAGTTGCATGAGATAAGGAGCATAAGCACATGCACAAATTGTTTTTGGGCATATGGATGGGGTTTGTGCGGCAGAATTCCTGCCGCTACTACTGTGGCAAGTATAGGACATCCAACAGTGTTTGACGTTCGACCACGAAACAGGTAGAGCAGGCGGAGTGATTAGTTTCAAGCAGGTGTAAAACCACTGCACTAGTCAGTGAGTGACCGAATCGTTCCATAGTTTAGCGATGCCGAGTGGTGATCACGGACCCGTTCGGACAAATACTTGACAGTGTGGTCTCTGTACGTTGGTTCACAGGAACAGATAAACCAGTACACACGAATTGAGGCGGCAGATTCCGGAATATCGCCTGGGAAGTTAAGCTGCATAGAAGGTCCTACTAATATCATCCGATAGTCTCCTTTTTTTTACTTCTGCTGATGTATCCCTTTTGAATGGCTAGGCAATGTAAACCGACGTCCTTCTGACCTCGGTTTTCTTCACAATACCTACGCTGCACTGAATCATCTTGCCAACTAATCGTTCTGGATAAACATTGTGTGTGAAAATAGTACGTAGGAACCGGAGCGCTTCTTCCATTGTGTGGTGCTGGGTAGCGGACCAAACGCCTCTTCGCGTTGAGCGGTGAAAAGCTGCGAAAATGAATATATTTACCCTTCCCAGTTGTTTTTCTATGCACCGATCGTTGCAACGAGCCATCTAATCTACGACTAAAACAAACGTCTAAAAATGCCAATTTCTTTTCGTATGCCATCTTTAAAGTGAGTCTTATGTTCTGGTGAGCAGCAGTGAACTTGCACAATAGCTCGTTTGTTCCTGATGTCGTGTTGATCACGCACAGATTATCATTCACATAAAGTGTGTATATCACATAATCCTGAATAGAATATTTCAGTTCGTAATTTTTGAGTTTCACCATGAACACATCGGCAAACAACCATCCTAGCGATGATCCCATGGCTACACTATCCCTTTGTCGATAGATCTGCTCGATTAACTTACATTGGACGTTGTATGTGCTAAAATAAAGCAGTTGTTTCAGATCTTCCAAAGAAAGGCCTATTTCAACATTGTTACTTTGTACATAAATACACGGGTATTTCACGGTGTCCTTGATTAGAACGTTTGTAATGAGCGAACTAACCTCTAGGAGAGCATTATTCAATCCATTCAGTGTAAATCACGAATACTATTCCAAAAGCGAATGCTGTGTTTGGCCCGTCCAATTCTAACGTGCTCTAGCAACTCAATCAACCATTGTGCAAGTGGTGAATTGCACATATCCTGCCTGATTCCTAATGTTTGAACTAAATAACTGTGTGATTTCCTTCGCAAACCAATCATCAAAATATGTCTTTTAAATGAACACAGGCGAATTGACTGAACAGTAGTCTTTCCGGGATTATGGTTTGAAGATGGCAGACTCTTTTCATCCTTAGATGGAACGTAACAATATCTGCCCACTAATGCTAAATTAGCAGTTGAGGAAAGTTTGCAAGTTTCGATATTGCATTCATGTATGTACGTCCAAGTCACAGAATCACCTCCATTACAAGGCTTACAGTAAACACCATCTGTTCCTGCTCTCATTCACCCTGAACACTGATGTTATTTCGGATTCCGGCAGATTGGCAACCGAGAACTCTTCTTTTGGATCTCGTCAACGAGCTCACATCATTCGCAGCCAGAATTAACCATCCGGAGCAGGTCGTACGAGAATCACCATCATATTCGGTCAGTTACGAAACATAAATNGAGAGGCGAAGGGTGCAGCAAGCCCTATTTTTCTGTGTTCATGTGACATAAATTGTGATTGGTGTGTTGATGGCGGTGGTGATGTTGACGATCAATTTGGAGCCAGGGTGAGTGGAGAGCTTGAACCAGTTACTTTGCGTGCATAGTTGTGGTGTGTTCCTTCAGTCGTAAGGAGAGTTTATCGATGGGCGTCCAATGTACGAGCACACCCAAAGGAGTAAGTTTTCAGCGAAGGAGGCCTTGCTTTGTTGCTGCAACCGGTGAACCGACGATAATCGAGCTGCGTTGTAGGTCCGCTTCACTGCACAGTTCGGGCTCCGCGGAAACGGAGACGAATGAACAATTTCTTCCTCCGATTCTTATGAAATCGTTTCAGATAG